CATGTTGGTGTTTAGCAGCCAGCAGAGGTCACGTAAAGCGAGTTGAGCTTCTCTCATTGGCTACGCTTGGTTTGGAAACAATGGCGGCTTGCCTGCTCACACAAGATCTGGTATTCCAGATAAACAGTACAATGTGTTTGTGAACAGATTTGAGGAGAGAAGTAGTCAACAACAGAATCTGGATTTATATTTGATCAACATTGTCTAGTTTGACAGTTTGATCTGAGTGTGGTGCATCAAGTTCTCTGACCCTGCTGGACATTAGAGAGAATGCAGGTTTAATCTCTGACCACTAATAATAAACTGTCATAATAACAGCAGTGTTATCTCTGGTCTCGTTCAGGTCATTAGGTCCAGAATCTGCCGTGTGCGTCTTTAAACTGCAGGATATGAGGACAGTGTTCACTCAGACCTACAGGACCTTCGACATGCAGACGCACCAGTGGAGTCCACAGCTGGAAAAACACTCCTACCTGGGAAAGGTAGGACACAAAATCTCAAATACAGGAGATATCCAGCCACCAATAAAAATTTAGTCTGGAATCAGATAAGGGATGTGCTTTTTAATAAATTAGCCATAAGTCCTGGTATACAATACAATGTGAATTATACAGAAACACAAACAACAGACAGCCACACCCCCATTATATTTAGATCATTTACTACAGTAAAAGTACTAATACCTGCACTGAAAATGTTACTTCAGTTAAAGTATGCGTGTATAATCAGTACAATGTAGTTAGAACCACAGTTTGACATCTACAGGCCTTTTCCAGCCACAGGGAACCCGCTCTGTTCTGGTTCAGGCACCTAGTTGCGAACCGTTTGGGGCATTATGACCAAAAATACATTTGTTTTGAACCCAAAAAGTTGTTCCCATCTAGAACCAAATAAACAACAAGTTTTTCTTGGGAACCAAAGTGGATGTGTCATATTCGAAAGGTCATTGTGGGCCCAAAGAAAAACAGGTTCACAAAATATTTCAAGCCCAGATGCACCGTTGTGGTTCAACAATGATCTGGGGTCATTTAACACTTTTGTGGACTGGAAAACAAATTCAAAATGGATGGTTATTTAAGGGACAAATTTCCCATCATGCAGCACAGTGGGGTTTTAATTATTTTAGTTTTAATAACTATTCTTTTGGGGCCAAAAGTATTTCAAATGTAAATTAAGAGGCGGCAGTAGCCCACAGACCTCAATATGGAGTGTGGACTGGTAGCTGGAGAGGTGCCAGTTTCACCTCTTGTGCACTGCCAAGGTGCAGGTGCCCTTGAGCAAGGCAACCTAACCCCGAAACCTGCTCAGGGGTGCTGGTAACGCGGCAGCCCCATCA